AAAAAAACTAGTTTCAATCTGAGCAAAAGCAATAGCACATCATAATACTGCCACAAACACTGTTCATGCCATGTATGGGGTTACTTTTTGTGATATGCTGATGTCTTAATCCATGCATTATGCCATTGTTACTAAAATATTAGGCTTGATTTCTTGAGACAGTAATACATTATCCCTCATCTTTGAATAGTTCTCATACCACCCTACTCCTTGGTCCAGACACATGAAGATTTTTTGACAACACTTATAGAGGTATTTAGCTCCTTTACCAGCCCCCCTCCAAAGCCAAGGGCTTTTCAAAGGTCGGATAGCGGTTCTGTAAACCTTGATCATTTCAGTTTCCGGGGTCTTTGGTTTGTTAGAAATTTCTAGAACTGCTTCCTAGATGTTGTTGACCACTTGGCAGGCTCTCTGAACAGTTTAAATCTATGTTAATCAGCTAATAGTGTATTTTGTCTACGGCTGCAACTAAAGATTATTTTACACATCGATTAATCTGTTGATTATTTTTATGATTAATCGATTTATTATCGGATAGCAAAAGGTTCCTTAAAGATTTTTTACAAAATTTAATCAGGGGAAGCAAGAACTTTTTCACTTGCGGACATCTGGATGGAGCATATTGACAGTTGAAAACATTTTTTTTTTATCTTAAATGCAAATGATCTTTAGATCATTTTGACAACTTTGATATAATTACTGCTCTAAGTGGGTTACTCTGTCAACTAAAGTCGTGTTTTAGAGTCTCTATACTCCAGTTAAAGATTAATCGATTAATAAATTAGTTGACGATTATTTCCATAATCGATTATTCATGTTTAATCTGATTGTTTTAGCCTTAATTTTTGTCCCATATTTGCTCCTGCAAATTGTCACTGCCTTCATCGGGCTTTGCTATATTAAAGTAAGCCAACAGGTTTTGTAACAGATTTTGGTTTAAAGTAAACTTTAATTTTTCCCACATGGTTCTATAGAAATAAGTAAAATTAAAGTTTTGGAACAGCCAGTTCAGAGGCCTGGCTTGAATCTGACAGAGAATATGTTGAAGGAGCTAAAGATTAGGTGGCAGCAAGGATGCTTTGCCACCTCAAAGACTTGGAGCTAGCCACCATGAAATCATTAAAATATCAGAAAAAAAGATGCAGAACACTGGGCCGCAGTTGTGAAGAGTTTGATTTCTGCACAGCTGCAAAGCTTTTCAACACAGAGAGATAGAAATATGTTTGACATGTAAATTTTACATTAAATTTTAATAAAAAAACTTTTGATTCATACTTAATTGACCATTGATTAATGTGTATCAGATAATAAACAATACAACAGTATACATACATTTGGAGGGGTATGGATAATTTAGTGCTGAACTGAAGAGCTCCTTCAGTGACAGACTGCTGCACCCTAAATGCACGGAGCGTTATCACAGATCCTTCCTCCCAGCAGCTATAAGACTTTATAACCATTACTGCTCCCAACAACCTTAATAAATTGCTACATTCATGCTGATTTTTGCACATTTTATGTCTTAGTCAGTTAAATAAAGTGCTGTCATTTTGCACATACAGGTGCTGGTCATAAAATTAGAATATCAGGAAAAAGTAGATTGATTTCAGTAATTCCATTTAAAAAGTGAAACTTGTATATTATATTCATACATTACATACAAACTCATATATTTCAGATGTTTATTTTGTTTAATTTTGATGATTACAAATGACAACAAATGAAAATCTCAAATTCATCATATCAGAAAATTAGAATATTACTGAAGACCAATAAAAACAAAGGATTTATAGAAATGTTGGCCAACTGAAAAGTATGAACATGAAAAGTATGAGCATGTACAGCACTCAGTATTTAGTTGGGCCTCCTTTGGCCTGTATTACTGCAGCAATGCGGCGTGGCATGGAGTCGATCAGTCTGTGGCACTGCTCAGGTGTTATGATAGCCCAGGTTGCTCTAATAGTGGATTTTAGCTCTTCTGAATTGTTGGGTCTGGTGTATTGCATCTTCTTCTTCACAATACCCCATAGATTTTCTATGGGGTTAAGGTCAGGAGAGTTTGCTGGCCAATTAAGAACAGGGATACCATGGTCCTTCAACCAGGTACTGGTAGCTTTGGCACTGTGTGCAGGTGCCAAGTCCTGTTGGAAAATGAAATCTGCATCTCCAAAAAGTTGGTCAGCTGCAGGAAGCATGAAGTGCTCTAAAACTTCCTGGTATGTGGCTGCGTTGACCCTGGACCTCAGAAAACACAATGGACCAACACCAGCAGATGACATGGCACCCCAAACCATCACTGACTGTGGAAACTTTACACTGGACTTCAAGCAACGTGGATGAAGTGCCTCTCTTCTTTTCCTCCAGACTCTGGGACCTTGATTTCCAAAGGAAATGCAAAATTTACTTTCATCAGAGAACATGACTTTGGACCACTCACCAGCAGTCCAGTCCTGTTTCTCTTTAGCCCAGGCAAGACGCTTCTGACGCTGTCTGTGGTTCAAGAGTGGCTTGACACAAGGAATGCGACAGCAGAAACCCATGTCTTTCATACGTCTGTGTGTGGTGGTTCTTGAAGCACTCACTCCAGCTGCAGTCCACTCTTTGTGAATCTCCCCCACATTTTTGAATGGGTTTTGTTTCACAATCCTCTCCAGGGTGCGGTTATCTCTCTTGCTTGTACACTTTTTTCGACCACATCTTTTCCTTCCCTTCGCCTCTCTATTAATGTGCTTGGACACTGAGCTCTGTGAACAGCCAGCCTCTTTAGCGATGACCTTTTGTGTCTTGCCCTCCTTGTGCAAGGTGTCGATGGTCGTCTTTTGGACAACTGTCAAGTCAGCAGTCTTCCCCATGATTGTGTAGCCTATAGAACTAGACTGAAAGACCATTTAAAGGCTTTTGCAGGTGGTTTGAGTTAATTAGCTGATTAGAGTGTGGCACCAGGGGCCATCAATTTTGAACCTTTTCACAATATTCTAATTTTCTGATATGATGAATTTGAGATTTTCATTTGTTGTCATTTGTAATCATCAAAATTAAACAAAATAAACATCTGAAATATATGAGTTTGTATGTAATGTATGAATATAATATACAAGTTTCACTTTTTAAATGGAATTACTGAAATCAATCTACTTTTTCGTGATATTCTAATTTTATGACCAGCACCTGTATATGGTGTTGCTGCTACTTTTTCCACATATCCATTACTTTAAAAATGCCCACAACCGTTTATTATTTATTCTCTAGATGCACAGTATTTAAATTGTAAAAACACTGTACAGTACAATATTTTTATGTTTATTTTCTTATCTATGTCACTTATTCTTTTATTTTACATACTTTTTTAAGGTCTACATTTGTGTGCCCACTTTTGCTATATTCTTTTGCTGCTGCGGTAACACCTTAATTTCCACATTGTGGGACAATAGAGATTTTCTATTCATTAGCTTGACATTCTGTAATGAAATACTTTTTTTTCCTCCTGAGTGATACCCATGTGCTATGGGGAAATCTGGACTCCCAAGTAAGCTCTCTGCAAATATAGCTGAAGTATACAGTGGAGGAATGTAAGTAGCATGTATTTATGGTTGAGTCAAACTTCTTATAAGTGATGGGGGCATGAATGCAAGAACACAAAGCTTCTGAAGAGACTTTTTAAATCCTTTATACACGAGCATGCCCATCCATACATACCACTGCAATTTGGTTCCAGGTATTCATGGATACACACTAATGCTAAATAATAAGCTGTAGCTACAGATATAAACCACGCTGAATAATAATAATGTAATCATCATAGGTTTTGCCTTCCACACACATGGATATAAGGGATATCTGCTGCTCTTGAACCTTTTCTTCCACGTTTACATTGGTTGTCTGTTGTCTTCTTTTTGCCGTTAGGTTCTCTATTTGGCATTCCTCTCATTTAGGAGTTACCGTATATCCTCTCTGTCTCTATTTTTGCTGTTTTGTTTTATTTTCTCTCTTCATGATCTAATTCCTGTCTCTATCTCTTCCTCTCTCACCTTAGTTCGCATTCCCTCCGTCTTTCTCACCTCCTTTTCAGTCTCTGTGTTTGTTATATACAATTTTAGTCCCAAAATAATTTTCAATTAAGTTTCATATACAAGAACAAAGTGAAACGTTATGGCGACAGTCCTAATGGTCTGCTTGTCAAAGCAAATTGTTGGGCTATCATCTAACTCTGGGACATATATTCTAAGAGCCATATTGACAACACAGGTCTCAGACACACACAGAAAGAAAAACACAATGCTGCATATTTATCCAGTAAGGCTATCGCAGCTTAAATATTTGTATTAATATTTAAACTTGTATTAAGTGTATTAACAATATGATAGCCTATAATTATACATGTGTATACTGCTCAGAGCCACCCTCTACTGTGTCATGATCTGTCTCTTGCTTAGGAGGTTGCTTAGTCTTTGCATTTGGTAGACATGTTATTTATTTTATTAATTCGGTCATTCATTAAAAGAAAACAACATAAAGAAAAACTGTGCAGGCAACATCAAATGAAAGAAAAGGAGCAGAAAGAAGTAAAAAAAAAGGTTTTTGCCTCCATTTTCAATAAAATATTATTCAACTCAGATAATTATGTATATATATATATATATATATATAAAAGACTATGTTCATCAATACACAGAAAACGAGGAACAGCAACAAAAAAATAGACAAACTACATCAGCTTATCCTCGGTCATATCGACTCATCGAAATAACTAATTTTCAGCTTGCTTTAACTCACTTATAAGTTTGTTCCACAAATCAAAACCTTTAATAGAAATACATCTTTCCATCATGTCAAAAAAAAACATTAGAAAATACAATTCAACACACAAAGATAACTGAAGTTACTAAATTCTGATTTTTTGGTATTTTTTTTCTAATATAAACTTGATAAGTTCAAGCGGCGCGCCTGTCTTTCCCCATTACACCACAAGGGGGAGCCTCAAAGCCAGCCCTCTGTCTGCATGAACCTCCCATGAAGGCGGGGCCTGCGGCTCATCCAGAAAATGTCAACAACATGCCGGAGTCCTGGGAAACAGAAACCGAGGAGAGAGGGAGGGACATCCAACAAAGAGACCCAGAAAACCAGAAGTCTCGTAACGTCGTGTCATTTATCTCCCAGTTAGCAGACGATCACCTGACTCTTGTGCGGGTAGGACGCTTCGTTTGGCTTTGTTTGGACGCAGTGGTATAGAGAAGTGGGTTGGCGATTTTATGACACAATTTACATTTAAAAGGGAAGTAAGGCAACTTTGAAGGTTTCCCGTAAATAAATAAAAACGTCAAACACTCCCCCTGTGCATTGTGGTGTCAGTGTTCACACCCCATCACCAGCAGCTGTCACGACTACTGTCATTGTCAAATAACAGGCTCTACTAGGTGTGATATTTCTCCCCACCTGTCAGCTCTAAACACTCCTCACGGATCTCTTCTGTCTCACACAGAACATCAGCACTGGACTGGCTGTTACTGGTGTGATTGTCCTGGCAAGAAGCATCAGAGTGGTAAGGTTTAGGCTCAAACTGCTGTTCAATGTGGTCTGAATCACAAGTTTAGGTCAAGAAACCCAAACATCACTTCAATTGTGGCGAGAGAAAAAAAAAAGTATGACACGCTGCAGATGCCCTCCAAAAGTATTCACACTGGTTGTATAATTTTGACACATTAGAAAGTGTCAGGGTTTGGTTAAGCTTAGGCAGGGGGGCAGAGGTGAGTTTCTTGAAGGTTTAATTGAATGAAACAACTCAGTCAGGAATCCAAAAATCCAACATGAAAAATGTAAAACAAACCAGAACCATGGAGACATCAGGGGAAAACAATCATGAGGAGCCAGGGTAACACGAGGAACCAGCACTGAGGAACTGCAGAAGGAGAGTATTTATGGTAGCCTGAACAAAGAAGACTAACGAGCAGATATGGGGGCAGGTGTGAAGAGAGGAGTCTAGAAAGGAGCTATAGGACAAAGAAGACCAACACAAGAGTGCAACAAATAAAAACCTAAGAACTCAAATGTATCCAGAAAACACAACAAAATAGGAATTAAACCAATAAAACTTGAAAATATGGAGCAAAGTAAAACTGAATACGCAAAAGAAAACAACAGAACAAAAACCATGACAGACAGGTCAATTAATTCTAATTGTGCAGCACAAAGTTGTCCATTAGTGTTAAGATTATATGGTCTCAAAATGCTGTTTGCAAATAAAATTGATCCAAGTTGTGGCATAGAGTATGCCAGAGGCGTAGCAAGAAATTTTTTTTAAGGGTGGCCGGGCATTAGCTAATGTACACTGAGGGTTGGCCAAAAGTAGATAGGCACCAGAACCTCAGGGTCAGTCTACACTCTTCCAACAGGAAAATCAATAATAAATAAATCTAAATAAAGAAAAACTATACTTTCCTACAACCTTTGCTAACAAATAGAGGAGTATATTCAAACATCCGTGCTTTGTAGATAAAAGGTATAGTGGATAAAATTCTTTCAGGTTTTGAGCGAACATATTTTTCATTGTCATTACTTACCTTCTTTTATCAGTAATCATTCTGCATAAAATTTTTATTTACAAGTACTAACATCTATATATTGATTATTTAATAAGTTTGTATTAAAATAGTTATTTATCAATGATTTTAATGAAGATTCCTAGATGACTTGCAGAGACAAATTATTTTCTGTTCAACTCATAAAAGACAAAATCTAGTTCTGAAAAGAGCATCAATTCTGTACCTATCAGCTTTAATGATAGTATATAGATGTACATAATTAACCAAAGTGTTTTTGTTCTCAAGTAATTGTAATATATGTAAAATTAAAATGTTTTGAATATTCCACTTGAGAGTATTACTGCTGCCACCATCTGTATTAGAGGGAAATAAAGGGTAGGGGTGGCCACAGGGGTGGCCAATGATTGGCTAAGGGTGGCCATGGCCACCCCTGGCCCCCCATCTCGCTCCGCCCCTGAGTATTGCAAAACTACAAACTCAGTGAAATGGCTTTCCACTAAATTATCTATGCTGCGTGGGGGCGGAGTATGAATTAAAGAAGCAGCCTAAGAAGTTCACAGTTACTCTGTAAGAGCTGCAGAGATTTATGGCTCAGGTTGGAGAGTGTGTTTACAGAAAATGTTTTATTGTCTTCTAGAAATCTATCCTTTATGGAAGAGTGGCAAAGCAGAGACTTTGCCACAGGAAGTATAATTTAAAGTTTTCTACAAGCTTTTAGTTGAAACAGCAACAAGTGAAAGAAGGCAGCGGCAGAGCTGGATGGAGAGCCAGGGGTTGACATGGCCACCCTTAGCCAATCTCTGGCCATCCCTACTAGGGGTTCCCATTTTGACATACAGCAGTTCCTTTTTAAAAGTAGTGAAATTTTCTAATTTAGCATTTTAATTCTTCCTGTATTAACAGTAAACTGACAAAAAAAATATGGTAATTAATTACTCCCATCAGTAAAGTAAAATACAAAATTATAAATACAAAATTCATGCTCTTTTAAAAGCTAGTTTTTGTTTTATGGGAAAGAGAAAGTTATGTCTCTGCAAGCCATCTAGGAGTCTTCCATGTCATTAGAGATAGATAATTACATGATAGATAGATAATAACAAATATTGCTAAAATTATATTGGAACGTTTTTTTTTTCTTTTCAGAAATGTAGGTAATAAATCACAGTATGTTTCCGCCCGAACTCAATGCTGGAAGATTGTCAAGTATACCTTTAATTTAGAATTATAGAAATATAGAATTTACACATATATATATATATTCATTAGTAAGGGCTTAAGAAAATACAGATGTTTTGCCCATTCATTTTCTTAAGGGAAAAGTGTAGAGTGACCCTGAATTTCTGCTGGCTATCCGCTTTCAGCCACCCCTCAGTGCACATTGGTACCTATCTGGCCACCCTTATGAAAAGATTTCTGGCTTTGCCTCGGAAAGAAGGAGGCACAAGGTTTAAGATTGAACTTCGGGGTTAGATCTAAAAAAATGTGGAGGAAAATTTAGAATGTCACCAGGCTTTGAATGTACCTACATGGGGCAGCATCAAACTATACTGAGGATTTACTTCACTCAGGTTTAGGTTAACCTTCCAACAGGACAGTGACCCTAAAGTCGCAGCTAGACAAACAAAGAAATGGCTCATATTAAATGATATTATTTCTTTGAATAGCCCAATCAAAGTCGAGATCTAACTCTTATTGTTAAGCCGTCACAAATCCAGACAAAAATGTAAAAAAGTTAATTTTTGCAACACCCTGTTTAAAGTAATCCAGGTATTCCTTAAAATATTGTTGCTCACTCTTGTTCCATCTCTTCAGATCACAAAGTTTCAAGCTGCATCTGAGATCCCTTCCCGTTTCATTGAGAGGAACGTCAGCCTTCGAGGGAAAGTTCATTCCGTCACTGAAAGAGGAATTGAAGTCGAGCACATCCCAATTTATCTGCCAGTCATCTCTCCATTACTGTCAAAGCAGCAGGGTAATGTTGGGGTAATCAGATTTTCTACATATTTCATAAATTTGCTCAGGTATGCCTTGACAACTAGGGACAGATGTCCTTACTCCAAAAACAAACAGATAAACCAGTTAAAATGGTATGTTATAACTTGTTAATGTTCACAAAAATATATTGAACTTACAGGTATGCGCAGGATTATTCTAACCTTTACCAGAAAGGAAACAAACATTTTAGACATAATTTTGCTCTAAAATTAAGAAAAAGGGACTCTTATATAAAAAGAATACTTTTGTTTTGTAAATATTTCTAAAAATAATAAAAATAGGAGTTAGACCTATTGACAATTAATAAAGGATAACACATTCATTAGTAATTAGATAAAAATAAGTTAGATAAATTGCAGGTAATAAGATCTAAATACGAAAAAGATGAGTAAATACTTTATTACTTTCTTTTTGCACTATTAAAACCTGAAGAGCACAGGCTCAGGAGAGCTACTACGATATAATATCTCCGATAAATTAGATGGATTACACTTTTGTGTTTTAAAAACTAAAAGTGTTTTCAAATTATTTCAAAATAGAATGATTGGTAAATCAGGACTAGGGCTGGACAAGTAACTGGATTTGCAATATAGTCGCAGAGTACTTAATTTTTGGCCTTGTTCCATTTAATGATAGCTGTCACAAACCTTTTCACTCTGGTCCTTTAGGTGGCGGTAATATACTCCAATTAGGTTTTCTGCTATACATAAGAAAAAAGATTTGCAGCTTGTGCACAGATGCATATATTTAAGCTTAAAGTAAACATATTTCCATTCACCAGTCCTGTGACATTGACTCTGGAACAAACATATATATATATATGCTTGTGGTTAGGGTAGAGGGAAGATAAAATAGCATTTTTGATTCAACAAATCAAACAACCCTTATCAGGGCTTCAAAATAAAACCTCCACCCATCAAGTTTCTTTCCTCAACCGGGCGGAAACACAATTTGTTAAAGATAGGCTCTGTGTATGCACCTTGATGCTTTATCTCTCTGGTTCTTTTTCCTGAAAAGAGATCATTCGGGACAAACTCTTTAAATAACACTTCATAACTTATATGTATTAAATAACAGATTCTGATAGAAATTGTAATCTTACTCAGATCAGAGAAATTGCTTAGCATGTACAGAAGGCAGCTGCTCACCTCCGGGCTCACCTCTGAGGAAGTGGCAACATTAACAGTAAAAAAGGCATTTTATACATCTCCAGTCTGCCACATCATCTTATTTTACATCATACATGTTAGCAGATGAATAGACATCCATGGCTCCAGCCTTATCAAAATATTACACTTCGCTCTTAGCTGTACCGCTCTCATTCCATTTCCAAATCTTTGCCACGTACAGAATGAAGATTGTAACTGTATATCCAGACAGAGAAACTGTCTTAATTAGATTAAAACTTAAGTTCTGACACGTAACAGGCAGCCAATACCAAGTTGTAATAAACTTACACATCTTCAATGATAATTATCCGAACATCTGTTTGTGCATCTTTTATCTAGTTAGTTGAAATATCATTGTGTCATTTTTAGACTTTGCTGTCAGATTCGGACTCATATTGTAAGTTCATTAGATTAACATTTATGACCTATTGGACAACATAGTTTTATTATCATTAACTGTCTCATCTAGAATTTATTTTGCAGAAGATACCTGCCTTTGGTACAATATGCATCTGAACTTCACATTCTTTCACATTACAATCACAAGTGTAATGTGCAGAGTGCAAAGTGTTTTGTTTTTTCTTTGTCTTTCATCTGTCTTCATTTTCCTAAAGTAATAATCTGTAGAGCCTAGATGTGTTGGAAGATGAGGCTCCACCCCACTGCCAATATTTGGTTGCCGTTAACAAGGCTTTCTTCTTGTTTTTAGCTTATTCCATTCCTCCATTCCCATGCTGTCACCACCATGTTTTAGAGTGGGGACGATTGGGGTATGTTTGGGGTTTGTTCTGCCACACAAATTTTTTTATGACGGGGAAAAAACTTCAGCTTCCATCTCATATAATGAGAAAACCTTTTTTTAGACACAGACTTTCTCCCACATGGTATAGGGTTAGAGGGTTCCCAGGGAGAATTTTTGTTTTTACTAAACTAAAAGTGTATCCTAACTGGACATCAAACAAGTGGAAGAAAACCACACATACTACATTTCCTTATCTGCCCTCCTCAAACATTCTACAGTACTGATACATTTGCCAGAAAATAAAAAAAAACTTTCTGTATACAGCAGGATTTTATTAGGCTCCTGAACTATATAGTTTATAAGTTGATTTAGTTTCCACAGTTTTCAGCTCTATTCTCAATGTGAAACTAAAGTGTATATGAATGAATCAGATCGTGCATTTAAGGATAAAAAAAAAAAATTAACAGCTTAGCTTTAATGAGTTATTCACTGTCATATGGGTCTTAGGTAATCTTTTTCTGTTCCCTGTTTAGATGTGTCGACATCTCGGCTGTGGGTGCATCTGTCTGGAGTCGAGCTAACACCGGAAGGAAAGATCTGGCTGCAGAAGAACCTGGTTCCTCCACAAACTGTTTGGCTAAAGCTTATCAGCCGACAGGACAGCACTCTGCACTGTTTGGTGTCCCAGAGCAGGGTGAGACATTGCATCATTCGAGTAGATGGAAAACAAAAGAAAAATGTGATAGTTGGGTTATTTTTCATAATCAAATACAGCCCTCCATATTTAGAGAGGTGTAAAATCTTAAAAACACGATTGTTTTTTTTCAGCAATAAAACAACGTGACCTTAACTTGACTGAATACATTTTATCAGAGGGAACAAAAAATACAAAATAAAAAGCGGATTTCTACAAAATCACTAATCCCATCTGTATTGGCACCATGACCTAAAAAAAACATTAAAGAAAATGTATATCAACATGCAACTTTAAGCCTGTTAAACTTTGGTGGTATCCATCTGATTAGTTTAGATACAGAGAGAGTTAGAAAAGAATAGAATACAACAGAACTTTAGTAATCAGATAATGGAGAAATTCACTTGTGATATCACAGAAGGTGCATAAATGACAAAAAGAGGCACACAGTATATACAGTGCAACCGGATACATACAGTGGATGGTGAAAAATGAAAATAAAGGAGAGATGTAATGTGACTTATGTATAGAGTATCTTATGTACAGTAAAGTGGTGGCAGGTAAAGTACAGTTTCTGCTTTGTTTAATAGATAAATAGTATAAGTTATTGTAGTGTTATTACACCAGGTTATAGTGCAGTGGCATTGTAAAGTCTGATGGCAGCAGTGATGAATGACCTGTGGTGATCTGTACTAGTTTTGCCTTTGAGTTGAATTATAAGGCAACACAAGGTACACTTACAAAGGCTTCACACGTAGTCTAACTTCATATGATTTCACTTTTATATGGTTGGAAATATTATGCAGCTTGTAAATCATGTTTGTAGTGAATGGGTGAAGGTGTTGGAGGACATATACTTACAAGGGAGTGAAGACCTCTAATGGCTAGGCAGTGGCACTCAGACAACCATGAGGAATGAAAGAAATAACTGTGACAACTGCATGCAGACGGACCAGTTTTAATATAACAGAGCATCTGTCGGAAATTGAAACAGGTCACACTTTCAATTTTCTGGGAGCTTGAGGAACTCCTTGTTTAAGTCTGAGGTGACCCCCCCCCCCCCCCACCCCCCCTAGAAAACCGTGATCCTGGTCTAGTAAGATCCAAAATTAGAAGCTCTAAATTGTTAGAGCAAACAACACCTAGATGGTAGGTATGATTACTTTGTACACTGAAAAAACAGCAACTCATAAGATTTACTTAAAGCTGAAGTCTGTAAGTTTTTAAAAATCACTTTTTTGTCATATTGGCTAAAACTGTCCCTATGCCCAGACAGCAGTACATGTGATATGTAACCTGTGAAAAAAACTGCTTCAATTGGTACCGCCTACTGCCTGTATTTCAATCTGGGAAGAATAATTCGGGACGAGTCAAAACAACCAATCACAGCCAGAGGAGCGTCTGATGGAGTGTCAATCACAGCTCACACACGCTGAATCCCGCCCCCCCCTTCTGGTCGCATGCGGTAGCCACGCAGATGCTGTGAGAGGGGTTTAGTTTAGTTTAGTTTAGTTTATTTAGGATCCCCATTAGCTGTAGCAAGCTACAGCTATTCTTCCTGGGGTCCAACAACAAAACATGAAATAAAAAAAAATTACAAATGAAATAAAATTATGTGGACATTAAAACAACATTTCCCATAATCTATACATATACATATATACATACACACATATACAGATACATATATACATATACATATATACCCATATACATAAACAGAAACAATCCAAACTAATCAAAACAAACTACAAAGCACAGCAAGTGAAGAAGACAGTCCTAATCATGTTTTACCTCTATATTTAATAAATGTTCTTTCAATGATTTTTTAAATTTCCTTAAATCAGTTATCAGTTTAATGTAATTCGGCAGTAAATTCCATGCTTTCATACCTCTATACATAACAGTTCTTTTTAGGGCATTTGACTTTACTTTAGGCAAACTAAAGTTTCCTTCAGTCGCATGCCTAGTCCTGTATTCGTGATTTTCTGAACTAAAAGTAAGGTTTGTAAATAACATATAAGGTGTTTTTAATACAGATATGTTTCTAATCATAACAGTCAATGAGTATGAAAGTCTGTCTTTAACCAACAACCAGTTTAATTTTTTATGCATTGTTATGATATTTGTCCTTAAATCACACTTCAATATTATTCGGGCAGCTCTATTTTGTACATGTTGTAGTTTATTTAGCATCTCTCCTGGGGCATTTGACCAGACGACTGGGCAGTAATCCATATGAGAAAAAATCAATGATTGGATTATCATTTTAAGAATATGTGGGGACATAAAGGTTGCATGTCTTCTTATGACTGTGATTCCTCTACCCATCTTTGCAATCATGTTATTAATATGTTTTCTCCATAATAACGTGTTATCCACCGTCACTCCCAGAAGCTTGGACTCATGCACATTCCTTATCGAGACGTTATTGATATTAATATTCAATATATGATTACTGTTTACGTTGTAATTTGACCTCACAATCATGCTGTTAGTTTTTGCTGTATTCAATACCAGCTTATTTGCTTTCACCCATTTATCCACTCCCACTAGTTCGTTATTCATAATAATTTCTAATTCATTATTTGTTCTTGCTGATGTATATATAGTGGAATCATCTGCATACATAATTATTTTAGTTCTTTTGAGTATGTATGGTAAGTCATTAGTAAATATTGAAAATAATAAAGGACCCAGGCAGCTCCCTTGAGGTACACCACATGTTACAGTTTGTTTTTCAGAAAATGCACCATTAAAATATACCGTTTGTGACCGGTTAGTTAAATAACTGTAAAACCAAGTAAGTGCAGATTGTTCAAAACCATAGCAGGAAAGTTTTTCTAATAGCAGATCGTGGTCAATTAAATCAAAAGCAGCTGAAAAATCTAGAAACACAACTCCCACCATATCTTTCATTTCAATACTCCTAAGCCAGTCATCAGACATACTAATTAGTGCTGTTGCTGTAGAATGAGCCTTTCTATAAGCATGTTGAGAGTGACAAATTATGTTATTAATCGACAGATAATTATTAATTTGTTCATATACTATGGTCTCTGTTATTTTTCCTAACACAGGTAGTAGACTTATCGGACGACTATTTGAGCTGGAAAAGGGCAGTTTCTTATTTTTCTGTAATGGGATTATTTTGGCTGTTTTCCAGGCTTGTGGACACACTGAAGACATAAAACTTAAATTAATAATGTGAGTAATTACAGGAGCGATTTCATCAGCAACCAATTTGAGAAGTCTGACATCCAGTTCATCAACACCCGGTGGTTTATCTTTGCACTTTTTCAGGCAATCCTTTACCCTCTGCAAGTTAACCATTTCTAATTTAAACTTGGACCTTTTCCCTTTCATTATTTCATTTCTTATTAATAAGTGAGATATTTCATTACTTAGGTTAGGCATATTTTCTCTTAGTTTTGCTATTTTACTAATGAAATAATTATTTAAATAATTAGCAATTTCTCTAGATCCAGTTATGAAGCCATCATTTGTCTCAAGGAATAATGGATGCGTTCTATTTTTCCTACCTGTCAAATCATTAACTATCTTCCACATTTTTTTGCAATCATTCCCCGCCTTCTTTACTCTATCTTCATAATAATTCTTTTTTTTCTTTTTATTTAGCTTGGTCACAGCGTTTCTTGTTTTCCTATAGAGGCACCAGTCTTCCTTATTCCCAGTTATAATTGCAGTTTTTTTCATTTGTTCTCTCATTTTCATAGCTTCTTTCATTTCTTTGTCCAGCCAGGGTGTTTTCGATGTTCTGACGGTAAACCTTCTCAAAGGTGCATGTTTCTCAATCACAGGTAGAAATAAATCATCAAACTTTGACAGTGCAAGCTCAGGATTTCTTTCAGTCAACACTTTAGACCAACATATTTCTCTCACATTGTCAACAAAAGAATAAGGATTGAAAGATGCATATGATCTCTTAAAAATTATTGTAGGTCCTTGCCTATCTACCTTATTGTTTTTTTCTACTATAATCAGATTATGGTCACTGCTTCCAATTGGGACCGATGATATCTTGTTAACTGTTTCTGGAGAGTTTGTAAAAATGTGATCAATACATGTAGCTGTTTTAGTACCATCTTGTTTTACACATATTCTTGTTGGCTTATTCATAATTTGATCAAATCCACCTGCATTAGCTCCAATTTGTATCTTATTCTTCAGTGGACAGTTATGAGCAAACCAGTCAATGTTAAAATCTCCAAGTAAATAGACATCCAGACTCACATTCATATTAGCTAACATTTCACAGATTGTGTCAAGATATTCATTGTTAGAACTTGGAGGTCTGTAACAGCAGCCTACTAGTATAGGCTTTCTGTGAGGAAAATAAACTTGTAACCATAATATTTCAATATTATATTTCATCATGTCAGTACACATTTTTACAGGTAAATGATCTTGAATGTAAAAAGCTACTCCACCACCATATTTATTTCTATCGTTTCTATAAATGTTGTAACCCTTTATATGTAATTCACTATCTTCAAAGGAGGAGTCTAAATGAGTCTCAGAAATAGCAAGTATCTTTAGCTTATGTTCTTCTAACAATTCAGCTATATCATTTGTTTTGTTTCTTAGACTGTTTATATTTATATGTGCAATAGTTAGTCCACTTTTTAGTCGCTTGTGTTGGGATGTCATTGCCATATATTTTAAGAAGCAGTCCTGTAAGCATATTTCCGTTTATTTATCCTATCTTGGGGTGCTGGTACGAGGTCGGATTATCAGTTTGTCGTGTCTGAGGTAAGCTATTTCACCCTTCTCACGTGCAGCTTTCAGTTTTGGCATGAGTTCCTTTCTTTTTAACCTTACAGCATCTGTGTAGTCCTCATTGATGAATATTCTAGTACCTTTCAGATTTTTTGCTCTCTGCATTACTGCAGTTTTGTCTTTGAAGTGCAAAAACTTTACCACAATGGATCTAGGTCTTTCCCTATCTGGTTCAGGTTTTCCTATACGGTATGCTCGTT